TTTTATATATATATATAGATTATGTACAACAGGATATTGTAAAAATTAAGCTACAAAATTTTTAGTAAAATGTTTATTACATTCCGTTATATTGGCTGGGCTGCAAAAATATTCGTTGTGGGTCGCATGCATGGGCCGCGAGTTTGACATGCTTGATATAGTACCAGTTTTTGTGTTTGCAGATAACGTGTTCTACAACCCAACACCAAGGGAGGTGAGTTCTGGGAGGTTACAGAGTGGCAGGGCTCCGTGGCTTTTTTTCTCTGTCTGAATTGCCAACCATCCAATAAACACAGCAGTACCCTAGTGCTGTATCCTTGCCCAAGTCTCTGCTCACTTCTGTGGGAATGCCCACTGAATTTCTGGTCCTCCTGGCTGAAGGAAGTGCCAGCCAAAACAGGATTCTTCCCCTCTCCAGGCTGAGTCCTGTTGTGAGCTCCCAGCTGCAGGGCTGAGCCCATGGCTAGTCTGAGCCCTTTTCATTTCCCCTTCCCCATTTGTTCCCACTTGCCCACCTTTAGGTGCAGGTCTATCATGTGTGCCTGTATGTTCAGTAGGGAATCCTTTGTTGAGTTATAGCTGTTTAAATTGTTGAAATTTCAAGGGGATCTCTCTCGCTGCCATTCCTCTGATGTTACTCAAGAAGTATAATTCTGAGACATGGTGTCTTACGTATATTAGGTACTCAGCTAATCTAACTTGAAGGGGATGTGTTAATGAGTGCCTGACCTTAGATGAGGATACCAAGGTCATGAAAAATACAGAATCATTTTTTTGTTTTGTTAATCCTCACCCAAATATATTTTTTCCATCGATTTTTAGACATAGTGGAAGGGAGGGAGGAAGAGAAAGAAACATCAATGTGAGAGAGACACATTGATTGGTTGCTTCCCGCATGTGCCCCTTGAAGGAAAATCAAACCCGTGACCCTTTGGTGTGCCAAGCAGCCAGAGCAATACAGAATCTTTGAATCCCATTAATCAGTGATTGTTAGTTCTTACTGTGGAACAGACCCACCTGAAGAATACAGAATCCCAGGCCCCACTGACACTTAGTGTTAAAAGGATCTTTGGGCTGAGGCCTAAGGATTGGGAATTTCTTTTTCCCAAGAGATCCCCAGGTGAGCTCCATATGCTGCAAGCATTGAGAACCACAGCCATGATTTTTCTGCTTCTTTCCCCTGGCCTCCATTTATTTGCCTCTCACACCCAGATTTTTCACTGTTGAGATAATTGATCCATTTTATTTTCCTTCTTCTAGATTAAAGATTTCTTGAGCTATATCTGCCCTGTGAATGCATATCCAAATGTAATTCCAGTGGGCACAACTATGGATAAGGTTATAGAAATGTAAGTTGTTGCTATTTATGAAACTTATGTTATTGAATGGGATGGGTCCAGAGAATAGTTTCTATCATGAGAACAGGGGCAGGACTTAAAGTGATTGTGGCTGTGAATGAGTGTCTGGGTGGGAGCATAATGACTTTAAGTAGGTATGTTATATATCACCTTAAAGGTTTCTGGGAATTGGCATATAGAAGCAGACAGTGTAAGGCCTCAAAAAAGGGCAGGACACCCTCAAATCTTATTTCTGTGCCCTTTTATATTTCATCTTCACTGAGTATTAGCTTTCAGCCTCTAGAACAGTGGTTCTCAACCTGTGGGTCACTACCCCTTTGGCGGTCGAACGACCCTTTCACAGGGGTTGCCTAAGACCACCCTGCATATCAGATATTTACATTACAATTCATAACAGTAGCAACATTACAGTTATGGAGTAGCAACAAAAATAATTTTATGGTTGGGTCACAACATGAGGAACTGTTTAAAGGGCCAGAAGGTTGAGAACCACTGCTCTAGAAGGAAGTGATTAAATGTGTGAGATTCTCGCAAGAGATAAGTAGGCAGGGAAGGGAAAACAGCTAGCTATATTGCACTGAAAGCCAGAAGGTGTCACTGTATTAAGTTTTTTAGAATAGGGACCTGCTTTTCTGCAGTGCAAGAAGATGAGTTTTGCTTTCCCTCAACCCTACAATTAGATACTCACCAGATTGTATTAGCACTTTATTATATTGAAATGATTTTTAATTATTGGATATTTTCGGGGTTTGTTTTGTTTTTACTGATGTTAGAGACAGGAGAGGGAGAGAAACATTGATTGGTTGCCTCCCGTAGACACCCCGCCTAGGGCTCGAACCTGCAATGTGGGTATGTGTCCTGACCAGGAATTGATCCCATAACCTTTAGGTGTATAGGATGACACTCTCACCAAGTGAGCCTCATTGGCCAGGGCTGCTTTTCAATTTTTAAAAGTAGTTATTTACCCCATGGTCACATTTTTATAATCTCTATAAATGATGCTTGCATTCCAGCAGCTTTCCCAGCAGGAAAAATAAATTATTCATATTCATTTCAGCTTAAAGCCTTTATGCCGATCTTCCCAAAACACTGAGCCAAAGTACAAACCACTTGGACAACTGAAGAGATCTAGAACAATTCACCTAGACTCTGGTAAGAATGATGACCCTGGGGTCAGAAGTGCGGGTTTCCTATAAGACTGCTCTGGTGAGAGTTAAATTGGGTAGAGGTAGGCCTGGGACTCACTGTCACTTAAACTTATCACATGGTCTAAGGACGTGCTTAGCTTTCCCATCTTCAGTCTATAAAACCAGGCGTTCCATCTCCTTCACGGTTTAAAACAAGTGCCAAAGAGAACTATCCCTGTATTGAATGTTCTCAGCTTTCTAGAAATGTGCCCCATGGTTTGTATAGGCCATAAGGAAAGGCTGTGCTATTAATTCTTGAACATTTACTGCTATCATTTTTTATCAGACTGATTGGTAGAGCTTATATAAATGGATTTTCCCTATACTTTTCTACCTTCTTTCATTGCTACTTTCACTTTCCAGTGAAGATTAGAGAAAAAAGAAACAAATAAAATTGAAGTGAACAATAATTCAAAAACTCTTACACTAGTGGCCCAACCAAAAATCAAGCATCATTTGGTAGGTACATAAAAGATACAAATTATTAAGTTCACAAAAAATTTGAAAGATTTCTATTTCCAGTAAAGGAAGTAATGGGCTACATTGAAACTCTCATCTGAAACAACTGAAAGCAACACAAAATATAAGAGACTGGACATCAGGCAATGAAGGACAGTGACACCTGAGAAAGGTGAAACAGCCCTAAGATTGCCCTAGCTTACTGCTTTTCAGGCAAAAGGGGACACCAAGATAGAGCCCATCAGCACCCCTGACTTGAGGAAATATACCTGGGAATTTGAGGAAACCAAGGTGGCTGGAGTTCCCAGAGGAGAAAGCAGTACGGAGTTGCTGCTCCCAACAGCTACGCGGAGCCCCCTGAGTATTCAGCATACTGACCAGTGCTTACTTGTGATGCAGTGCGTCCCCTGAGGCCTGGGAAAGAATCACTCTAAACAGTGAAAGGAAACAGTGCCTATTCCCAACAGGCAGAGTGGAACACCATAATTTACAGGTTGTTTTACTGTAAGAATACTGAGGGCCTTATCTCGGTGGGGAAAATTACAAAGATAAAAAGCAATATACAAAAAGTGCAAACTTTACAAGTCCCTTAACCACATGCCAGAACAAAGCTCAAGAATATTTTTAGAAGTCCAAAAATATACAGAATTTAATAAGGTCAAGTTCAGGATGTATGGCAATCCAATAAAAAATTATCAGACATGCAGAAAGGGGGGGGGGGGAAATACATCTTATACTAAAGAAGAAAGAGTAATTCTTTCCTTATTCATTTATATAAATATCCACCAAACTCAAAGGGGTGGATATTGAACATGTTTAAAAAGCAACATTTTGTAGGCACCAGTGAGAACAGACAGTAGTAATTGTAGTGTAAGAGTAGTGCCCTAAAGTTCTCCAGTTGTATTAGACTCTTAGTTGTTGGACTGGGCAAGAAGGACACTTTGGGGTTTATGGCAAGGGCTGTGTACTAAGTAGTGTTGAGAGTATTTAAGAGATCTAACAAATATAAGATTGTATAGTTGTATACAGGCTTAAAAGCACCTTGGATCACTGTATATACATGATTGCACACATACATACCTATATATATAAAAGCCTAAGCGACTGTTACAATTGAATGACCAGTTGACCAGTTGCTATGATGTGTACTGACCACCAGGGGGCAGACACTCAATGCAGGAGCTGCCCCCTGGTGGTCATTGCACTCCGGCAGCCCCTCCCCCCAGCAGTTCGGCCAACCCCCCGGGGTCCCTCCCCGCAGCCAGCCAGCCCCCAATAGGCTTCAATTGCCTGCCAGGCCGAGGGACCCCACCTGTGCACGATTTCATGCACCGGGCCTCTAACACAGACACACACACACACACACACACACACACACACACACACAAATAAGTTTTTGTTATTCAAAAATGCCAATTTAATGGCTATATACTTTGTCATTATACATTTCGGTTATTTCTAACTTCTCAGTTTTACAGATAATAGAACAATACTATATGTTGTCTATTTCAATTTTCTCATTATATTGGGTGACATTTTAGAAATTTAAGTGCTTAATACATATTGCCAATTGTCTTCCAGTACGATTATACCAATTGACATACACGTTAATGCATGCTGGTGGGCGATATCTATGAATTATTTGACATTTGTCCCTTTTTTAAATTTGGGTTGAGGTGTATCAATTTGTAAACACTATTAAGGATTTCAACACTTTCATATTTATCGTGATATTTTTGTAGTGTTATGTCTTTCCAGTTTTATATAAATTTAAATTTATATTATTTTAACAGAATGAATACAGATGTATACAGGTGAGTTAATGTGAAAATGTTTTCACAGATTAAAGTATTTTAGAGTTGAAACATATCATGATGCTGGTATAGAAAGAGATCCTGAAGACCATGAAACTGTACAACTTAGAGATGATACAAAAAGATAGATTTGGCACAGTAGTGGAAGAGAGCTAAAACGTGTAATCCATGGCTTAAAATAAAACAATGCTGCCCAGCCAGTGTGGCTCAGTGGTTGAGCTTCAACTTATGAACCAGAAGGTTACAGTTTGATTCCAGGTCAGGGCACATGCCTGGGTTTCAGGCTCAATTCCCAGTAGGGGGTGTGCAGAAGGCAGCCAATCAATGATTCTCTCTCATCATCAGTGTTTCTATCTCCCTCTCCCTCTCTGAAGTCAATAAAAATATTTTTAAAAAATTAAAGGAGGAACCAAGCTGGCGGCATAGTAATGCCTGTACTTGCTGCCTCCCACAACCATATCAAAATTACAACTAAAATACATAACAACTATCATCCAGAACCATGGGAAAGCTGGCTGAGTGGAAGTACTACAACTAGAGAGGTAAAGAAGAAAGCACATTGAGACTGGTAGGTGTGGAGGCACGGAACGGGCTGGTCCAGCTCCCAGGTGTGCCACTTTTTTAATTGGGAGGGAGATCGCCTCTGCGGAGGCTGCCTGGAGGAGTAAGGAGTCCCAGACCCCCAGCCCAGGGTTCCAGAGCTGGGAAAAGAAGTCCCTACAGGCAGTAAGAACTACAGACTGTAAAAACCAGTGTGGATTGGGTCTGAGTGACACACAGGCTGCTAGAGACCCAGCTGCTCCTCTTAAAAGGCTGGCACCATGAACTGAATTTACAAGCTCCCGCTTGCTCTGAGCTCCAGTGCCAGGTGAGGCTCTGGGGGACCCAGACAGATACAGGGAGAAACTGGACTGTCTAGCATCAGGGCAGGAACATGGGGGTGGCTTTCTTCCAGACGGAGGTGCTTGCAGCAATCATTGTTCCTATGCCGGGACTTCCCCTGTGCAGGGCTGACTGGCAGACATTTCTGTTTGCTCCACCCTGGAGATTCACTGAAACCCCGCCCCACCTAATTTACAACCCCACCCAAGCTGTGCGGAGCGGCTTTTGCATATGAATGGCCTTTCCTTTCTCAGCCTAAAATCTGTCAAGCTGCAGCTGGGTCAGGGAGTCCCAAAGCTATCAATAAAAGGCCCAAGACCAGCACCAGCACCAGCCTGCCCTGCTTCACAGCTGGGCCTCATCTGGGCTCTTCCAAACCCGATACAAAGAGGAGAAATCTGCAGATCTCTCTGTAGCTCCTGCTGGGTGGCCCCAGGCAATGCTGACTTTGCGCATCCCTGGAGACCCAAGAGCCAATGTACCCAGTGGTCAGTGTGAGACCATCCAGATTACAACTCTTCACATCCATAAGCGACTCACTCAAAGGGCAGAATCAGTGAGCACCAAAGCCCCACTGAAGCAAGTCTTGCTCCATAAAGCTGTCTCCTGCACAGCATCTCTCCCACTGTAGTTGCAGCTGGTCCCCACAGCCAATTGGCCTGGAGGTCAATTCCTCCCACTGACACCAACAACAATCAAGTCTCAACTACAACAAGACTGTGCACACAGCCCACAAAAGGGTGCACCAAGAGTGTCCACCTCAGGTGATTGGGGAGGCTGAGCCACTGGGCCCTATAGGACACCTACTACACAAGGCAACTCTATCAACTGAAGGAGACTTAGCAGCTACCCAGTACATAGAAACAAACACAGGGAAGCAGCCAAAATTTAGAGAGAAAGAAACATGTCACAAATGAAAGAAATGGAAGAAAGCAAACTACTGGATATAGAGTTCAAAACCACAGTTATAAGATTACTCAAGAATCTTCTAGAAACCTCTGAGGAACTTAGTGAGACCTTCAAGGATCTTAGTGAGAATGCCAAAAAAAAATGGTAAAGGACCAATCAGAAATTAAGCATACACTGAATGAAATAAAGCAGGGGTCCTCAAACTATGGCCCGCGGGCCACATGCAAATACAAATATTGTATTTGTTCCCGTTTTGTTTTTTTACTTCAAAATAAGATATGTGCAGTGTGCACAGGAATTTGTTCATAGTTTTTTTTTAAACTATAGTCCGGCCCTCCAACGGTCTGAGGGACAGTGAACTGGCCCCCTGTTTAAAAAGTTTCAGGACCCCTGACTTAGAATATCTATCTTGTTGGGTCATCAGAAGAACAGAACTCTCCAGGAGCCCACAGAAGTCACCAATGAAATCATCTTCCAGGTCTACCTTTTCATAGGCTGCCAGATAAAGGGCATGAAACCATCCAGCTTAGGTCAAAATGAGCCTATTCTCTTCCCTCGTTCCCCCTTTCCCACAGCAATATCGAAGAGAATAGAAGAGACAGCAAACACAGAAGTGAGCAAGAAGAGGAGGAATAAAGCCACCCAAGTCCCCTTTCCCAATGAAGGCTGTCTGCCATCTTGAATCCTGCCCAAGCTGGGGGAGAGTACAGTGCTAAGTGAACACTGAGTTTTATTAGCACCCATCCCCTATAATTCCTAAACTTGTAGAGAATGGCAGGAAGTAAAGGCTGAGCTCTAACCAACTGACATTCTAATTAGTGATGTCAGTCTTGACATGGCTTACTTGTCCTTTTACTTATCAATCTTTGTGGATCCTTGATCCCCAATGTCTTCTTGCTTCTTAACCACCGACTTCCTTACTAGACTGTCTTCCTCTATGTCTTGCCTACTCTCATGTGACAGGAAGCACAGAGAACCCCATACAAGAGGAATCCAAAGAGGACCACACCAAGACACATCATAATTAAAATGCCAAGGACAAAAGACAAAGAGAATCTTAAAAGCAGCAAGACAAAAACAGTTACTTACCTACATGGGAATACCCATACAACTGTCAGCTTATTTCTCAACAGAAACTTTGCAGACCAGAAAAGAGTAGCAAGAAATATTCAAAGTGATGAATAGCAAGAACCTACAACCAAGAATACTCTACCCAGCAAAGCTATCATTTAGAATTGAA